TCTCTCTGTGTGTGTGTGTGTGTGTGCGGGTGTGTTTGCGCGCCGTGTGTGCCGCGCGTGTGTGCCGCGCGATTGTGTGTGTGTGTGTGTGTGTGTGTGTGTGTGTGCGTGTGCGTGTGCGCCCGTGGTCACGGGGGTGGGGCGACCCATCCCCCGCGAATCAATCAATCAATCAATCAATCAATCAATCAATCAAAGGGGCGCGGGGCGACCCCGCCCCAACCAATCAATGAATCAATCAATCAATCAATCAACGGAAAAAAAAAAAAAAAAAAAAAAAAAAACGCGTTTTGTTTCCCTATTTTCTTCGATTTCGCCCTTACCCCCCCAACCGAAAATTAGATTTTTTTCGTTTTTTTTCGCCTGAATGGGTGGGGCTGGGGTTGCGCCGCCACGTGGCGCTTCCCGTTTCCCAAACCCCCTTCCCCAGCGGCCGCCACGCGTCCGCGAAGACCTGTCCGCGAAGACGCGCGTCCGCGCGGACGCGTCTGCGGGGTCGCGGACTCGGCCGTGGCCGTGAACTTGGCCGCACCTGTCCACCGCCGAGGGGGATTCATAGACGGTAGGCGAGCCTAGGGCCAACGGTTGGCATCGGCCATGGGTGGTCTGTCAACCCTGATTCAGAGGGCCGACTGGTAGGCGAGCCTAGGGCCCCCTCCATACGCAATCCGATGGTGGATCTAGGACTCGTCTTAACAATTTGTTCTTAAATATTTTGCACGAAGAGGTGATGGTCTCACTCAGTTTGTTCCGTATCTGGTCGCCTGTCCTTTGCAGGGTATGTGGCATGGATTGTCGGTATATGTATTGATGCTGCCAGTCTGACCAGATGCTAAGTTATTGTCCACATGTACTTGCGTTGGCAGGTTGTCTCACCGGATGAACTGAAAGATGACGAGGAGTACGAAGATATCATGGAAGACATGAGGGAAGAATGTGGAAAATACGGTATGGCGGCTGTCTGCCCTTCTTTGTCTGCTAACCAACTGTTTGTGGAGGAATGACTGTCGGTCCTTGGAGGCAGCGGTGAATTATGAGGAAGAGTAGGAAGACAGGTAGCAGGAGTTTCAGGATACAGCAGGGAGAAAAGGGCTGTGCTTTGTGTATTGGATGGTGTGTTGATATGTGTTAGTGTGAGAGATGGTTAATGGAAGGCCCAAAATTCGGGTTTGTTTGCTGAATCGTCACAAGCAATGTCGTTGAAAATTTCACGAAAAAACAATGCAGGCTCATAATACAAAAGTGAAAAAAAAAAAGGCAAAACAAAAAAAGAAAAAAGAAATCTCAAAACCTCTATGAAACCTAGCTTTTCAGCCCTCGCGCCCGGGCCACCCCAGGTCGCCCCGAAGGGCGCTTGGGGTGCTCGGCCGTGTGAGCCCTCCGGCCAGGCACCTGGGCCCCCACAGTGCCACCACTGAAACCGCTAGGAAACGAAAATTTGCGCGCGGGCTGGAGGTCTGATCGACGGTGCGGAAGTCCCAAGATTTTGAATTTGAATCTTGGGAATTACCGCCTGGCCCCTCCCTCCGCCCTGCCCCCTCTCGCCAGTTCGTCGTTCCCCCGCTGTTATGGACCGTGCCATGGTTGTTGCCCTGCCGTGGTCGTCTGCGCCATCGTCATCGTCTCCCTGCTGAGCTGTCGTTGTAGTCACCTTGCTGCCTTCCGGCCGCGCCATCCTCACTCCCAACGAAGACTGCCTGTGCTGCCATCGCCAACTCAGGTAAGGTTTTTCTTTTTCTTCTTTCTCTTTGTATCTTCATCTTCGTCTTCTTCATATCGACTACCTCCAGCCGGGCTGTCCTCCTCCCTCCCTCCATCAGTCTCCTTCCCCCTCCTTCCATAGGCTTCCTCCCTCCTCCTTTCTTTCTTCTTCATCTTCCTCTTCCTTGTCTTCGTGCTGTTTCCTTCTGTCCCTCTCCATCATCTTCTTCCTCCTCTTCTTATTCTCTACAGGTCTTCTTAGTCTTCTTCTTCTTCTTTCTTTCTTTTTTCTTCTTTGTTAGAGTTCTGCCCCTCCGTCTTCGGAAGAGTTCTGCTCCTACCTCCTCGTACCTCCTGCCATAGTGCTCCCTCCTCCCTCCGGGCAGACTGCCTCCCTCCTCCCTCCCGGCAGACCGCCTCTCTCCTCCCTGCCGGCAGACCCCCTCCCTCCCCCCCCCTTCGTCCCGCCATAGTCCTTCCCCCCCCCCTCCCCCCCCAGCACCCAAAAAACAATATGCCCGAAAATAAAAAATGAGACCGGATTTGGGCAGCACTCTGGCCCTGCAGACGAAAAAAATAAATAAAAAATTCGGTGGATTTTTTTCATGCCCGGGGTATCCCGGGCGAGGTACCTACTCGGGCGGGGCGCCCCGGGAACCCTATTACGAAACCCTATTTGGAGTAGTTTCTGGAGTCCGCCTAATTTTTCTCCGAAGTCGGTGTGTTTTTGACAACATTTTCAAACTGAATAGAGGTATACCCTAAAGCACTTACATATTACTCACACGGGAAAAAAAAAAAAAGAAAGCGAAAATTCAGGGAAATATGGGAGAGTTTCGGTGAAAAATTCGCCGAAAATGACACCACTTATTAACCTTTAGTGTCGGATTGAGCTTGCATGGACCGTCTTCTCCTCGTTTTCTGCTAGCAACCTATTTTTGGAGAAATGGCTGTCAGTGCATGGAGGAGAAGGCATACGAATGAGGTAGCAGGAGTTTCAGGAAAGATCCGGGTGATTGGGCGTTGTATGGGATGGTTTGTTGCGCTGTGTGGATTGAATCATGTATCCCTCATTTTTGTTGAGGTCACTATGGGCCTCGCTCCACCACTCTCGAAATGTGCAAAACGAGAGTGAATCTTCCGCTAGAACAAGGAAAGATACATCGCCATGATTTGTCTTTTGTGCATTTCCGGAGTAGTGGAGCGACGCCCTATGGTTAGCAGAATAATTAGTAAAGGACAACAGTGGGCGCACTTCATTTTTTTTGAGGTCACAATGTTTGGTCTCTGTGTCCCCCAATGTGGTGCCCCCTTCTGTCCGACTCAAGATCTCACAATGAGCCAGTGCATCCAAAATGCTGAACGTCTTCGCTGTGGAAGTGGTGCGCTTCCCTTTTCGTTGAGGTCCCAATGTTTGGTCCCAGTGTCCCACAGTGTGGTGCCTGTTCTCTCTGACTCAAGATCTCACAACGAGCCGCTGTATCCAAAATGCTGAACGTCTTTGCTGTGAAACTCTGCGCAGGAACGCTGACAAATCTTGTAATACCGCGTCCGAAGGCAACGGGCGAAGACCTGCCGGGTGTCGGGAAGGTAATGAACTTGTGATCTATTACACCCTTCTTCATGCATCTCTTTTGTCTGTGCTAATTGTGCAAGTCGCTGAACTCCGTGACGTCTATCGGATGTTTCAGTTCGCTAAGGACTTCGTTGCAATTTCCTGATGAGGGAATCCATGGATCGGTGCAAGTTCTATGCGATGTTTCACTAGATCAGAGTGGAAACATGAGTGGAAACATTTGTTAAAAGTACGCTTGGAATTAAACAATCAGTGAAGTCAATGTGCCAATCTTTTCTCTGCCTACTTCCGTTCATTTACACCTAGTTTTACGACAAAGGGAAAATCAAAATCTCTCAAGATATCAAAGAGCGTAGTAATGTAGCACTTTCAAGATATTCAAGAGGGAAGGAATCTAGCGCTTGCGCTCCATCCTTCAGACCTTGTTTTACATACAGCGAAGGAGATCTAAAGAGATCCAAGAGGGAGGTAATGTGGCACTCGCATTCCGCCCTGAAGTTATATATATAGTCAGCTTCCGTTATACATAGTCACATGGCTATCAACGTTCCTGAAGATTGCATTTTGCAAAACAAATGAACTATGGAACGTGAGCAGAGCAGACAGCAAGAGGAACCGGAAGCTGTTTTTTTCGCCTTTTCCAGGGTTTCCTGTCCAGTGCTTTGCTTTCAAAAGTCATGTGCAGGTGCAGGTTATGCACCTGGCCATGTCTATAAACTATGGACTATGTACTGTGTGTACGTGCACCTGGCCATGTCTATGTAGTATGCACCATGTACACGTGCACCTGGCCATGTCTATGTCGTATGTACCATGTACATGTGCAGCTGGCCATGTCTATGTCCTATGTACTATGTACAGGTGCATCCTGTGATAGAGCTGGCTTTGAATTTATGCACCTGGCCATGTCTATGTGGTATGTACTATGTACACGTGCATAGTATAATGCTCTCTCTGTTTTATACCTTTATGCGTCTGTTCCTCGTATCGTCTTCCACTTCCCAGGAGGACAACTTCGCGAAATCTATAATTTTGCAGTTATATAATATTGGCTCCTCCCACAGCCTGCCATTTTTTGTCCTTTTCTGCGATTCAATGGTTGTGCGAAGAGTGTTATGAGGCAATCCTGCACGCTATAAAAGTGCCGATAATGGTTCAAATCTGTGCTGAAGCATCGGGGGAAAAAAAAAAGATCGGCAGCAGAGTGGTACCTTGGGCTTCCATCTCTTTGGCAGCAACGAAGGCACGGTGAATGACTGATTGGACGGCGAAGTGATGAATCTTTCACCAAGACGGTCCATGGTAGCTCTTTTTCGATGCTTGGCACGGCCCCACACTACCTCAGGGCGCGGTGCTCTTGCAATGTGAGCTGTCCTGGGCCCAAAATTTGCTAGAACGCACTGCCTCCGGAGTGCAACCGATTTCAGAGGCCGCGAAGGACGAGTCATTCCACTATGCAGCAGCATGACATACAGGCACAGTGGTCTCTCCAATGCCGTACTCTCCCCTGCCGCTATTCCACTTGACCTTGATGTTTACCCAAATGCGGCGCATACCTCTGTTCTTCTACTTGATATGGTACCAGGTGGTTACATCTGTGTGTGGCATTTGGCATAAAAATAATTCCGGATGCAGATGTAAATAACCCCGCATTGTCGCACGGGGAATGGGGTGTGATGGACACGCTCTAATGTGCTGATTGGCTGTTGTTGTACTTTGTTTTATAAATTCGCATGCAGGTATTCGTGGAGTATTCTGACACGGGGGCTGCGATGAAGGCGAAGGCGTCCCTTCATGGGCGGAAGTTTGGTGGGAACACGGTTATTGCTACCTTCTACCCAGAAGACAAGTTCTCGAGAGCGGACTACGCCGGGTGATTGTTGTGCCATACAACGAGGGTTTGCGAGTTATAGTTGGTAGAAAGATTTTGGTGGTTAGCTCCGCATCCTCGCCTCGCTGGTTTGTGTGTTTGTGTGTGTGACATTGCTGACCCTGGCATTCGGTATGTCGGGTGTGTGAAGCACAGTGGCCTCCGCTCGCTGTTCGATCTCAAGGAGTGGAGATAGGGCCATTTGTATGTTCGCGCAGAGTCAGGGCAATTTTTTCCTGTGTCAAATATGGGTAATATATCCTACCATGTTCCATACACTCTTTTTCCCTGTGAGTGAGCCACTTGCCGCCCCCCYCCCCCCCCCCCAGTTGCACACAATGTTTTTCCCCTTCCCCTTGTAGAGTTACTTTTGTTAGAAAGGGAGGGTGCCCTACCCTTTTCTTCCTGGAGATGTGTATACATCCATCTTACTCAGTCAATCCACAATGAAAACAGTGAATGCTTTCTCATTCTGCCGGCGAGTTCCTTTCGATTTGTCTGTCACCTGCTGGCCTTCCCCGTCTTAGCTCATGTCGCAGAAGGACATGGTCATTGGTCATGCATGCTGTTCTGTGAGGCGGCAGCCTCTTCTTTTGCTGTTGGCATGGTGAGTGTGTTGCTATTGTTCCCTCGACTTCCCGTAATTACGTAATTCGCGAAATGTTGGCTGTGTTGACGGTTTGTTCTTTCAGTGGATGGCAGCGAGTTTGGAGTGATCTCTACCTCTACTGTGGGCTTCTCTTTTCCTGTATGAGAAGCTGGTAGACCAGAAGAGTTTCCTCTTTTGGTCAACCACAATGCAGTAGTCGAGTTGTGGATTTCGCCGTTTTGGGGTTTCGGTGATTAGCAGATAGGGATATGGCGAAATTAGAGGATTACGATACGATGCTAGCGCTACGACACTCTAGGATGTGTGCGTTGGGTCTGCAGTAGGTGTTTGTTTGGCACGGAGTGCAGTTGAAGAGCTCCCTCCCTCAAAAGGGCTTACAGCACCTTTAAAGGGGTTCGAGCAACTGTCCGCCGTGAGAGGAGTCATGCGTGGTTTGCGGCCGAGGGAGGGTACGTTAATGGGTTTCCCTCATTTTTGCTTCTCTCTTCCTGTTAAGAGGAGGGTCGCCGCGAATGTTTTCTTGCCGTTGTGCCACATGTTATTACACTCCATGCGAGAAAATCACACATTTGGTTCTGCATCTGGACATCGTGTTTGACCACGTAAATTAAATTACCAGATTACTGTCGTTGCACCTTTACCCTCGGGAAATGTTAACATGCCTTCCGTGAGCACTCTGAGAGTCGTCGTTGCATGGTGACATCGTTATGAACAATCAATTGCCTCTTTGTTGTCGTGCCACTCTATGGCTTTAATGTCACCACGCTTCTGGTTGTTGCCTTGCCTTGTGTTTGTTTCTACGGCACTCGTCTCAAGTTTTAATGTCTTATTTACGTCTTGCATTCCGCGGTGAAACGTCGTTGGTACCTGTGGCAGCAGGTCAAGTCTCAAAAAATCCGATGGTGAATCATAGAGAGACGAAACAGGTCCCAACAACTCCTCCGATGTATTGCATCCATTCTGTAGTAAGGATGTTGGGCCTCGCTGCACTACTCTCGGCATGCACATACGACAAAAATCATGGCCGTGTATCTTTCCATATTCTCGCGGAAGATTCACTCTCGTTTTGCACTTTTCGAGAGCAGTGCAGCGAGGCCCATTGTGTCCACCTGGCGTGGAACAACCTGCCGTGGAACAACTCTGAAAGAGTGTGAAGCATGGTCCAAGCAGGTCACAAGCTCTTCTATCGCCTTTTAGCGGCGCTCCACCCAGAACAAACAGCCTGTCGCGTAGTATATTTGAGGGTCGGGTATAGTGTAGTCGCCGCTCTAAATCATTATCTTTGGGACCTTCCATGGCTTATCTTCAATTCTCTGGCGTGGGGAATAATGAGACCTATTGCTTCCACATTATCTTTGGGACCTTCCATGGCTTATCTTCAATTCTCTGTCATCACTATTCAAAAGGTACAAACAGAACGATTCCAGTCGTGTTGTCTTGGCCTCGTCTTCAATCTGAAAGCGTGGAGCACCTCTTGCTTCCACATCTACTGCATTGGCACTGAGCTTGTGCTGCTTAAAACACCGGTTTGCCTGAAACTTAGTCGGGCTCTTGAACGTGGAAGGCCACCTCTCTCTCTCTCTCTCTCTCTCTCTCTCTCTCTCTCTCTCTCTCTCTCAGGCGTGTGCGTACGTGTGGCCCAGGTGGATTCGAAAAGCATGGCCAGGAGATGGCTGTGATATAATAGGTGTTGATGTCAACTTGATGATAACATCACCACCCCTCTTCCATGTAAAATTTATGACATAACCCCGCTTATGCTATGTGAATTTTTTTCTCTTGATTTTGTTGTCCTGCCATGCTTTGAAATCCAGCTTAGTGGTCGGAGATCATTATTAACGTAGCCTGGCCTTGGACGTTGCTCGGTCGTGTAGTATGTTTCCTCATGCAGGACATATGGAGAGCCAGGAATGCAGAGATTTTCCAGCGAGAGAATATCGCTGCAGTAGCAACAAATCAGAAGTAAAACAACATTTGCTGGCAAAATAATCTCTCAGATTTGAGTTCCCACTTTACCAGCAAGAATAAAGGATATCTTCCCTTTCTGAGAACAGAGCGGCAGTCACCCTGGACAAGAAGTTAGTGATTTCGCGGTGTTGAATCCTCCATAGGCCGGGTAAGAAGGTTGACATTATCTGCTCTGAAGTTTTTTTTTTTTTTCCCCTTTGAAATGATAGAGCAGCATCACTAGRGGGGGGGGGCGGGGGGGGGCGGCGTAGGTCAGGTTTACAGTGGTTACCTAAGCTGTCCCGGTTTGCATCTCCAAGTATGTACCGAACTGTGACTGGATTACATCTCGAGTATGTACCATTAGTACTAGGCTGGAACCCGATTCCCGTGGAGAGTGGGGGGCAATAGCTCTGGTACTTAGGACTCGAAAGAGCACATCGCATACTTGAGCAAAGTTTGTTTTGGGGGGAAGGGTCTTAGATGCATGGTTTTCAGGGGACGCTGAACCCGGTTTCCAGCAAGAGGTGAATCTGCGCAATGGCCCCAGCAGTTCCTCCAGGGCAAATTGTGTCCCGGTTTTTGGCATCCTTTCCGTTCATTCTGAAATAGTATGGTTACACCTTTACCAAGAAAAAGAAAAAGAAAAAGAAAGAGAAAGAAAGAAAGGCGCTTAAAGGCGGAACATTATGGGCCCCATTTGGATCAGTTTGAAGGCCGATGGCGCTATCCGTTTTTATATTTTTTCCAACTTGATTCTGGTTTCGTGCCTGGGCCCGGGTACTAAGCTGGGTGGCCTGACTGTGCAAGGACCAGGGAAGGTCCCAGCGAAGGAAAAGAAAAAAGAATTAAAAAAAAAAAAAACATGAAAATCCGATTTAAAACTAGCGTATGCAGAAAAAATAAAGTGAACGACTTTTGGCTCCAGCTCACATGGAAAGTTGTATACCGAAATGTTTTTGGGCCGGCCTCTTGGTACTCTTGGCTCAGGGCCACTCTGGTAGCCTAGTTTCATCGCAGAGTTGCCATCCTATGATGGCAGCAATTGGCTATTGGCTATGATCGATGCCAGTATTCTGCAGGTACTATGGAACGCAAAATGTGCAAGCTTGAGCAACATATGCAAGCTGGTCTACGTTAAATTGAAACATGAGCTTTTATTAGGGACCGACATGGAAAGGTTCAAATCCATTTACTCCAGTGATTAATTCCAATTCAGTTTTTGTTTTGAAAGCTGACATATTAAACTTCGGAAGCCTCCAAAAGCAGCGAAAACAAAACCTATCCAAATACAAAAAATGAAAGGTGATTTCATTATGGTAGTATACCAACCAGTTTCGAAACTTCCAGTTCCTATCAAATTTCAGCACTATGCAGAAGGAAAGGTTGGCGAGTGAAGCTCGGTGGGAGGCGGATGTTTGCAACTTCTGTTTGGAAACCATCTCATCTCGCTTCCCTTTACTCGAAGTCGAAACATGAAGTAAGAAAACGAACTTGCATTTGGGAGGGGACGTTATGGGGGAGTACATATCACATACACTCCCCGGAAGAAACCATCCCAAAAGACTTCTGCAAATGGTCTTCCAACCCTCAAACCGGAAAAAAAACTATGAGTTGGCGTGATTTTTGACCAAGTGTTCTCTGTTGCTGATGGAGAATCGAAACTTTGTGATGCTACCCATGGACAGCAATAAGAAATCTGACGTTTCCCGTTCAGCAGCCAGACTTCAACATCATCGTTTTTTCCCGCGAAGTGTTCAGGATCTTATTTTCAGCCTTTGTTAAATGAGCGTGCATTTCACTCTGTATATGGGACGCTGTACCCGCTTTCCAGCAGGTGATGCTCCCCACCAATAGATGGAGCCTCGCCCCCGGTGCTAGCGCGGTGTCTGCTCTTATCAGCACACCTAGCACTGGAGGGGGTTGTTTAAAAAAAAAAAAAAAAAAAAAAAGAAGAGCATGCTGATTGTTTTCGGGAGGGAGACAACAAAGCTATGTTCGCAGGGGTC